CAGATGGATTAAATTGCCTGCCTAATACGAAACACCCCCTCGCTCCTCATACGGAAAGTGTCAGTTAAAAATCGACGAACAATATATACATGCCTGGCAAGTACCTAAACATCTTACATGCCAATTTTAATGCGATAGAATGAAATGTTTAGAAAAAGTCTAAGGTTAAATTGAGAACGAAAACCATTTCCCCTGTTCCACCTACAGCGAAAAGCGCTGGGAATGCTAAAGGTGGAACAGGGGAAATCGTTTTCCTTCTCTATTCAACCTTAGACTTTCTCTAGACATTTCATTCTATCGCATTGAAATTGGCATGCAAGATGTTTACTTGCCAGGCGTGTACAATATTGAAACTTAACAACAGTGACATCAGTCTTCTGCTTTCTTCAACCCGAAAATGGCGAAAATTATTTTCGGTCGGACATTTAGTGGCGGCGAGCGTTATGGATTATAACGCCCGCTGGGCTTAATGCCCTCAGGTTGTTATAGGTATGTTAGCGTATTTCGTTTCCTAGGTATTATGGATCTATGATAGTTAAGTAGTTGACCGTACTGCCAGGAGGTGGACCAAACTTTAGTACTTACAAAATAAGCAACAATGGTGCTACAATAGAATGTCTAAAGCCAAGGTTGTTTGAGAGAGGTGAAGTCAATAAACTGAAAGTCTGTTTTTTTTTTTAAGATAATTCCCCAAGTCAAAAATTTAGTAACTATGTTGGCAACACAAGCATTTTCTACATTAAAATTTGAAAGCATTGATAATTTCACATTGTATTGCCAACATAATATCATTTTGACTTTTATCTTTAAAAAAAACAGACTTTAGGTGGCCTGATAACTATATGACGTCATCTGGGGTGCCTCATCATAATGCAAATCTCCATAAGGCACCCCAGATGCGTCATCAAGTTACCCATTACCAGGCAACCTATTAACTTTAGGAACCTTGGTCTAAACCTAAACCATTGGTCTGGTCTAAACTTAACAAGGTTCAATCATGAAGGTCTGTAGGTACTTATGACATAACTTTGGAAAAAAGGTTTGTCGTAGACTAATTCATATGAAGACAATAGCGTTCAGATTTTGTATGAAAATTTTTAACAAGAAGTATCCCTCAAAATGGCATTTTTATATGGGAAATGTCAGTTCAGGAAATTCTTATATTATCGCTAAGGCTTCCTTAAAATGGTCGAGTAAACCAAGGATGATACACACTACTACTATACTACTACTACAGGATGGCCTATCCTCATAAGGCCTGTGTGTAACAAATCCCCTCCTTCACCCCCTCGCCAAATTGCCAGTTGTGACGTAGGAAGCATGTTATTTCCAATGAACTATTTCTCGCCTTGACGTAGGCTGTTTTAAACAGCTAACGACTTAGGGCGGGTATTATAAAACTGCTTTGACAGTTAACTTTTTGAATTACATGGTATTTACACTTGGCCAAACATAAAACTGGTAAGGTAGCAGTACCGGTTATCGGCCACTTAAGGGCAAAGTCCAACTTCAGAGGATTGTAAAAATTGCATTTGAACATAGATTATGACATAAACTGCATTTGCGGTTCGCTAATTTAATTACCTGTAAGTCCAATTAATTAGATGGGGAAAGAATTTTACTAGTTTTCGTAAAAACAATTAAATATGAAGTTAATACCATAAGTACCAATAATCGGACACCCTAAAAATGTAATGTCCGGATTATCGGCCTAACTGTGTCCTAGTTATGGGCCATGGGTTATAGCAAGATTAATACTTAAACAATCATCATGAAACAATTTATGATATTTTTTGTAATTTTATTTTGAACAGAAAATACTAGTATGACACTGAGTATACAACTGAAAGTATATACTTAAACATAAATTAAAAATCTTTTAATTCAGGAACTGCATAAAAACCTCTCTTATTTATAATTTTTGGTTTTTCTATTTTAATTATCACATCTTCTCTTTGGTAATTGAGAACATCTTCTTTGGCAGGCCATCTCCAGTTTTGACCGCAATTGCATCGTGAGATGTGATCGATGACCATCTACGAATAAAAGAATTGGCATCTTTATCTTGTTTGTTTTAAGCCAAGGAAAAAATACGTTTGCAATGTACTCAAAAAACGATTGCCCAGTCATCCAACCACTATCAGATTTTCCTACTCCCCAAGTCTTAGGTACTTTGTCAACTATGGCCTTTGGAACCCGTTTATAGGAATACATTATTAGCGGAGGTAGTAACTGACCTGCTGCATTGCACATAAATAATGTAGTTAAAGATTCTTTCTCGTCATTATTTGAAACAGTATATACAGTTTTTTCACCCTTTTCTGTAAGTACTTTTTCTCCTTTTGGACATAAAGACATCGCCGTCTCATCACAGTTATAGATTCTATTCGGCTCTTCGATATTTAGATTATGATCCTTCAAATAGGCTGCAACTTCTTCGAACCATCGGCGAATTTTCATTTCACTGACATCAGCTCTCAAACCAGAAAGATTTTGGGGTACTCTCTTAGTTATTTGAGGATGCCGTTTTAAAAAGTTCTCATACCAATGTCGGCTTGGTCGATCATTTGGAAAGGGATTTTCTCGTTTCAGTTCACGCACCAGTAGCTGAACGCTATCCGCCAATTGTGTCTTGGTTATTGGAAAACCAGCTTTTGCCGAGCTTAAAATCCACAACACTAAGTGATCTTCTTCTTCGGCTGAGAATCGTGGTAGGCCTCATCTTTCTCTCTATAGGTGTTTTTCCAGCTTTCTTATCTGTCAATGTTGATTTTGGAACCCCAAATGTCTTACTGGCTTTTCGGATGGACACTCCACTATTAACAGCCTCTATTGCTCGCTTCATGGCATCTTCCGAGTATTGGAGTCTTTTTGCCATTTTAATTTTCAAAACCTGAAAGGAAAAATAATTAACCCTGTTTAATGGTTAATTTTTATCGATTTTAGAAATGCTTAAAAAAAATACAAACAAGAGAAACAAATTTTGTACAAGTTACTTAATACTTTCAGTATAGCCGATGATTGGGACTTTATGGTTTATCATAAGAAACCTAATATCGGTCACAATGTCCATTTTATCGGCCACCCTTTGTCCCTGTTATCGTCCTAGTTCTTTAAAAAATATTTAGACAGCTTATTTGAAGAAAAATGGTAGGCCGATAACTGGGTAGGGTAAACTTCGTACTTTTCGGAAATAGTTGGCGAATTTATATTCAAGTAGTTTAATTGTTATATTAATTTATTTATTCAATGAAAAATGTTACTCAGAGTCCCTATCATCGGCCAGGCGGACGATAACTGGAACTTGACTATTTTTCAATGTCCTAGTTATCGACCACCCAGAAAATAAATTATTTTCTTCACAAAAACTAGATATTTCAGCTTAATATGGTGTACTAAACCTAAATATATTGCAAAACAAATTTTTAATGTAAGTACATGGGAACAAAGTATCATTAAACACATTTGATTTGATTGATTGATGGTTTCTTACTTACTTTCTTAAGGGCCAAATTATGGACTGTCTGGTAAACGTCTGGTTGTTACCTAGCAGGTACTTTCTATGCACTAGAGAATAGAAAGTACCTGTTAGGTAACAACCAGACACTTACCAGTTGGTCCATAATTTGGCCCTAAGGGAAGCTCTTGTTCACTACACAGCTGTTGACACGTCAGTGATCACAAGCGAATTAAAAACATTAGCGTAGGTATAGCAGGTGCAGGTGATACCAGCTATGTTGCCAGAATATGCAATATTTCGGTGGAGTAATAATATTTTGTTTATCGCTTCTAAAAATCTTATTATTGAATAAAATCTGGTAAAGTGGCCGATAATTAGGACCTGGCCGATAGCTAGGACATCTACCTTACGCATTTTCCTATTGTGTTGTATTGTGTAAATCGACCTTTTTTTATCACCTCAACAATGACAAAAAGGGTCAAGTCAGTGTCATATTCAAACCAATCATAACATAAAAACATGTTGCATTTACTTTTGTTCAGCTTTGACATTGACAAAAACTGTCCACCCTATGTTTTTCAGAAGAGACTTTCTGTTGTTAAGCCTGACTCACACTAGGCAAATTTAAAATATATATTATGCCTGTACCAGTTTTATGTTTGGCCAAGTGTAATTCCAGAAGTTAACTTCAAATTAACTCTCAAAGCAGTTTTATAATACCCGCCCTTAGTTAGGAATTATGACGTCGGCAATGGTGGCACACCAATATGGCGGCGATTACCAAAGACGAGGCCAATAAGCACCAAGGAGAATACACACTCTAAGGAGTGCTTATCGGCCTAGTTTTTGGTAATCGCCGCCATATTGGTCTGCAACCATTCCATTGCCGACGTCATCAGCGGTTTAAACAGCCTACGTCAAGACGAGAAATAACATGCTGCCTACGTCACAACAGGTTGTTTGGCGTAGGGGGAAGGGAGGGATTTGTTACACACAGGCCTTATGAGGATAAGCCATCCTGTAGTAGTAGTGTTTATCATCCTTGGATAAGCACTCCTGAGTGTGTATTCTCATTGGGTGCAAACTGCAAACGGCCATAAATCCCGAAGGTGGTTTATTTTTATTTACGCGTACCCTTTGACACAATCAATTTTTTTAACAAATTTCTTGAATGATTTTTGGTTTTAAGTGCCGACGACCGGTTTTGACGTCATTAATTTGTTTAAGTCAATTTTTACTTTTTAAAAAAGAAAAACAAATGATGACGTAAGTACAAACCCTAGTGAAACAAACAGTAGATACATAATGGAAATTTTACATAATCACCAACATTTGGCAACACCGACAACAACCTCTATTTTTATTTTTGTTGACATGTCGGCTAAATCCCCACTTCACGCTTGAACTTTACTCAGTCGAGACACATCATCATCTTGCCTCTTTGTCACACTATATGGAATCCATTCATAGTTTTATGCGACTGAGAGAGACAGAAAAAAACGCATTCAGGTCGATTCGTTTATACCAATACGTCACAACACACGATTCGTAGTATTTTCAAAACAGTCCTAGAGGTGCTCCAAGTTGATCAAAATAAATTTTCGCGTGGCCTGTGTGATTATTTTTGATAAATTACAAAAATGGATACGCCGTTGAGAGAGCAAGTGATGATCAATCAATTCGTTTTGGCGGCAGGGTGTGCCAGGGACCAGGCAAAACAGATTTTGCAATCGGCCCATTGGCAATTCGAGGTAATTAAAGATTATTTTCGTACAGGGGGGAACGGGATAGTTTAGTTTGTGTTGTTGTTGTTGTTGTAAACAAACGCGATGAACATGGCCGCCTAGGACGTCGACCATTTCCGTAGGTGGCGGCGCTGTTGTCATTTTTGTTGTTTGTTTTTGTTTGGTTGTTTATTGTTTGTTTTTTTATGGCCCATTGATTTGATTGTCTAATGTCTGAGTAAGATAGATTGATTTTTTTTAATTGTTGTTTGTTATTTAACAGAAATCATTATTTCAATTCGATGTATCTTAAACCGAAAGTAAGGTTTTTTTCAATGGGGCTTGGAGTTGTGGAATTATGGTGTATAAAGGTAAAAGATTGTGAAATTATGCGGAACTCCCGTACATTTACGTAGAATTGTAGGAAAAAAACGTGTAAACCTCAGTATACAAGTCTTGGCCTGCGGTTTCACTTTTGGTAGGTATTTTCTTTTTCTAGCTTATTTTATTGTTAAAAGTAAAAACTCGTTCTCTCTTCATTGGTTTTTTAAAAAAGGCAGTGGATAGAGGTCCGAAAATTCGGATCTCAAGTGTTCATACTAAAGATCCAATAATTTTCGGATTTTCAATTTGTATATTAGGGGTCCGAAAATGCGGATCTTTAGTGGTAATAAGATCCGAAAATAGATGTTTATTTCTAATTCTGTCGTAATTAAGGAATATTATAAAATTTGCTTATATTTTTTTAGGATTGATACTAGAAAATATGGATCCTCTAATCTTTTTTATGCAGAATAGCTAACGTATATAAAGTTAGCAATGCAAAGTCAGCAGTGCAAAATTTTTATGACTGGAAAAATTAGTGCTAATTAAGTGCTAATTGAATGCCAAGTTCACAAATTTTGTGCTCGTGTAGTTTCCAAGATATGGCCTGCACTGCTAGCTACCCGTTAAAATATAGCAGTGCACCATCCAGGAAAGTGGTAGGGTGATACAAATTGTGAAGAAAATTGAATGCTAATTAAATGCTACCATTTCTATGAGCAAAATTTCTATTTCCAGCTTTTTTTCACATATTTTTTTAAAAACAACGCTGTGCACTGCTAGCTTCATGCAGTACACATAGTGACTTTTCACGAAAGAAGGGATTGGAAGAGTTTTCAACATAGGAATAATTTAGTGCTAATTAAGTGCTAATTAAATGCCAAGTTACCAATTTTTGTGCTCTTGTAGTTTCCGAGATATGGCTGCACTGCTATACCCGTTAAAGATAGCAGTGCACTATCCAGGAATGATCCAGGAAAGTGGTAGCGTGATATAAATTATGGAAAAAATTAAATGCTATTTAAATGCTACCATTTCCATTAACAAAATCTCTATTGTCAGCTTTTTCTCGCACATTTTTTAAAAACAATGCGGTGCACTGCTAGCTTTATGCAGTACATATAATGAGTTTTCATGAAAGAAGGGGTTGGTGGAGTTTTCCACATTAGAATAATTTAGTGCTTATTAAATGCCAAGTTACCAGATTTTGTGCTCTTGTATTTTCCGAGATATGGCCTGCACTGCTATACCCAATAAAGATACCAGTGAACCATCCAGGAAAGTGGTAAGGTGATATAAATTATGAAAAAAATTAAATGCTACCATCTCCATAAACAAAATCTCTATTTTCAGCTTTTTCGACTATTTTTTAAAAACAACGCTGTGCACTGCTAGCTTTATGCAGTACACATATTGGGTTTTCATGAAAATAGGGATTGGTAGAAAAAATTAAATGCTATTTAAATGCTACCATTTCCATTAACAAAATCTCTATTGTCAGCTTTTTCTCGCACATTTTTTAAAAACAATGCGGTGCACTGCTAGCTTTATGCAGTACATATAATGAGTTTTCATGAAAGAAGGGGTTGGTGGAGTTTTCCACATTAGAATAATTTAGTGCTTATTAAATGCGAAGTTACCAGATTTTGTGCTCTTGTAGTTTCCGAGATATGGCCTGCACTGCTATACCCGTTAAAGATAGCAGTGCACCATCCAGGAATAATCCAGAAAAGTGGTAGGGTGATACAAATGATGAAGAAAATTAAATGCTTATTAAATGCTACCATTTCCATCAACAAAATCTCTATTTTCAGCTTTTTTTCGCACAATTTTTTAAAACAACGCGGTGCACTGTTAGCTTTATGCAGTACACAGTACACATATTGAGTTTTCATGAAAGAAGGGATTGGTAGAGTTTTCGACATAGGAATAATTTAGTGCTGATTAAGTGCTAATTAAATGCCAAGTTACCATATTTTGTGCTCTTGTAGTTTCCGAGATATGGCCTGCACTGCTAACTACCCGTTTAAGATAGCAGTGCACCATCCAGGAAAGTGGTAGGGTGATATAAATTATGAAGAAAATTAAATGCTACCATTTCCATGAACAAAATTTCTATTTTCAGCTTTTTTTCGCGTATTTTTTTAAAAACAACGTGGTGCACTGTTATCTTTAAACTCTACCAATCCCTTCTTTTATGAAAACTCAATATGTGTACTGCATAAAGCTAGCAGTGCACAGCATTTTTTTTGAAAAAATATTCGAAAAAAAGCTGAAAATAGAGATTTTGTTTATGGAAATGGTAGCATTTAATTTTTTTCATAATTTATATCACCCTACCATTTTCCTGGATCATTCCTGGATGGTGCACTGCTATCTTTAACGGGTAGCTAGCAGTGCAGGCCATATCTCAGAAACTACAAGAGCACAAAATCTGGTAACTTGGCATTTCATTAGCTCTTAATAAGCACTAAATTATTCTAATGTGGAAAACTCCACCAACCCCTTCTTTCATGAAAACTCAATATATGTACTGCATAAAGCTACCATTGCACCGCGTTGGTTTTAAAAAATGTGCGAAAAAAAGCTGAAAATAGAGATTTTATTAATGGAAATGGTAGCATTTAAATAGCATCTAATTTTATTTATAATTTATATCCCGCTACCACTTTCCTTGATCATTCCTGGATGGTGGCACTGCTATCTTTAATGGGTATAGCAGTGCAGACCATATCTCGGAAACTACAAGAGCACAAAAATTGTTAACTTGGCATTTAATTAGCACTAAATTATTCCGCTGTCGAAAACTCTATAAATCCCTTCTTTCATGAAAACTCATTATGTGTTCTGCATGAAGCTAGCAGTGCACAGCGTTGTTTTTAAAAAAATATGCGAAAAAAAGCAGAAAATAGAAATTTTGTTTATAGAAATGGTAGCATTTAATTAGCATTCATTTTCTTCATCATTTATATCACCCTACCACTTTCCTGGATGCATTTTTCCGTTTCCTATTTGGTTACCGCTACATGGAGCGCTAATCCTTTAGGAATTGTAAAGTTATATCTAGCATCACGTTTCCTATTAGGCTAGCGCACATGTCTATCGCTACGTGGAGCGCTAATCATATAGGACTTGTTGAATTATATCTGACGTCGCGTTCCCTATTAGATCAGAGCACACCCTCTGCGATCGTCTCATTGGTCGTCTGCAGGCATCCATTGCATTGCAATGCATTTCATTATCCCAATTTTTTGACGTTAATTAGTGGTTACAGGTGGTTCAATAATTTTGGATATTTCTCGTTGTGTCTCATTTTATTTTTTCTCTTAATTCTGGCGTTATGGAAGAGATAATTAAAAAGTTTGATACTATGTGTAAAAAGTTTTGTGTCAGTAAGCAGGAAAGTGAATATGAAGTAGTTTTGCGGACCAAAGTAGATTTTCCTGACTACGATGTACAGCGTATGCAGTGAATAGGCGAGTTTTCTGCTGCTACAAATACGCAATGGATTGTTTCACAAAACTATCCAAATTTGCAGAGGCTTCACTATAGAAAAGATTTTGTTTGTCATCACAACAAAAAAAATAAATGCCGCAAAAACGAAAGCACAAGGGAGAGAAACAAAAATTGTCCTGCAAAAATTATATATAAAGTTAAAAAAATAAATAGATTTACTAAATACAGTGACCCTTTTTTGAAAGAAAACAATTCTTTGTATTTCATTGAAACAGATTAACTTCAAACACACTCACCGAACTCATGTTGCGGAGGCATACAGCTTTTTACGCATGAGTGAGTTAACGAAAGAAAAGTTTTATAAGTATTTTGAAGATGGTCTGTCGGCTAGTGAAGCAAAATCATTTCACAGATCTTCGCTGGTGGCAACTACACCTTTAGAAAAAGTATGTGAAGTACTTTCCAATGGTCACATCAATCCTATTGATCGTTCCATTTATCATTTGTTCGAAACTTGGAGGTATGTGTTTTCACGTTTTCGTGCAATATGAATGAATCACCCTGTATATTTTTTTCAGAGAAGAAAATTATGGTACTCTTGAAGTACGTAGTATGACAGAAAAGTTTTTGGAAAAAAGGGATTATTTTGAAGAAAATGGTGTCAAAATAAGTATTCAGGAAGACCCTTTCTGCTGTTCTTTTGACTCCACTGATGCAAAGAGCCCATAACATACAAATTTCAAGTGAAATTGTATTTGTAGATTCTAGTGGTTCCTGTGACCAAGGTGGTTCTTCAGTCACGTTTTTTTTTGGTGCAAGTAAAATTGGAGGAGTGCTCCTGGGCTGCATCATTCATAACTTTCAAACAGAAAAAGTTTATGAATTATGTTTCAAGCAATTTCGTGATTTAATTGGGACCGATGGATTTTACGGTAAAGGCTTTCCAGCCGTATTTATGACAGATGATAGTGCAGCCGAGAGGAACGCTCTAAACAAAATTTTTCCACAATCTAAATCATTGCTTTGCACATTTCATGTTCTTCAAGCAGTGTGGCGCTGGTTATGGGACAGTTCACATAACATTGATAAAGACCATAGAAAAAACTTGATGCTTTTTTTCCGAGACGTGCTATATGCACAAAATGAAATTGATTGTGAATTAAACAAGACGTCACTATGCGAAGATATTATGGCAAAAAAATATCAACTATTTCTAGAATATTTTAGCGATATGAGGAAGCGGAGAC